AACGTCTTGAACGGTGGTTCCCACGCTGGTGGTGCTTTGGCTTTGCAAGAATTCATGATTGCTCCAACTGGTGCTCCATCCTTCTCTGAAGCTTTGAGAATGGGTTCTGAAGTCTACCACCATTTGAAATCTTTGACCAAGAAGAGATACGGTTCTTCTGCCGGTAACGTCGGTGACGAAGGTGGTGTTGCTCCAAACATTCAAACTGCTGAAGAAGCTTTGGACTTAATCGTTGACTCCATTAAGTTGGCTGGTCACGAAGGTAAGATCAAGATCGGTTTAGACTGTGCTTCTTCCGAATTCTTCAAGGACGGTAAGTACGACTTGGACTTCAAAAACCCAGAATCTGACCCATCCAAATGGTTGTCTGGTCCAGAATTAGCTGACATGTACCACAACTTGATGAAGAAATACCCAATTGTCTCCATTGAAGATCCATTTGCTGAAGATGACTGGGAAGCTTGGTCTCACTTCTTCAAGACCGCTGGTATCCAAATTGTTGCTGATGATTTAACTGTCACCAACCCAGCCAGAATTGCCACTGCCATTGAAAAGAAGGCTGCTGACGCTTTGTTGTTGAAGGTCAACCAAATCGGTTCTTTGACTGAATCCATCAAGGCTGCTCAAGACTCTTTCGCTGCCGGTTGGGGTTGTATGGTTTCCCACAGATCTGGTGAAACCGAAGACACCTTCATTGCTGACTTGGTCGTTGGTTTGAGATCTGGTCAAATCAAGACTGGTGCTCCAGCTAGATCCGAAAGATTGGCTAAGTTGAACCAAATCTTGAGAATCGAAGAAGAATTGGGTGACAAGGCTGTCTACGCCGGTGAAAACTTCCACCACGGTTTCCAATTGTAAATTGATTGAAATATTACTTAAGTAACATTTTTATTTCATCATTTTTACATCATTTAATGCTTTTATAACGAATCTTTATAGGTTTAAAATAATAGATATTACTTTTTATCACTTCTCTGTGTACTGTTTGAATTCCCTGCTTACTCAAACAAGTATGGGACAAATAGTGATCCAAAATAATGGATATCATTTAAATATAAATACAATCATATGCTATCATTAGATGGTGTATAAGTTGCATGGGGCTGACTATTTTCTTGATAATGTATGTTAGTTTGAGCATATTAAATTTCAATCTAAGGTGCAATAGCTAAATATTGAAAATGAAAAAAGTATATTTTGTTCATATTTAAGGCATTGACGATTAATATGAACATCTTAAGAATCCTCTATAATTGAATTAGAATTGACCAGTGGTTGATAATTGGTATTTGAAAGATAAGTAAGAGGTGGATTTTGATAATATATATATATATATATATATATATTGATTTAATATGAGAGACCATTCTTCACATAAGCAAATGGCTAGTTCAGCAATGCAGCATGATCATGGTGATATGGGAGGTGATAGTTGTTCAATGAATATGATATTTACATGGAATTATAAGAATACATGTGTGGTATTTAGATGGTGGCATATTAAAACAGTATCACATTTAATATTGAGTATGCTTGCCATTATGTTTTTAACCTATTTGTATGAATATTTAAAATATTGTATTTATAAGAGAAATTTAAACAATGTAGTGGTGGGAACTACAACTAATTTGAATTCTGTAGGTGCTAAACGTGTAAGATTCAAGAAAAGTATTTGGTATTCGATACAAGTTGGGTATTCTTTTATGTTAATGTTAGTCTTTATGACTTATAATGGTTGGTTAATGTTAGCTGTAGTTTTAGGTGCCCTTTGGGGCCATTACTGTTGGGGTTCATTAACTGAAAATTGTAATGATACAAACAGTTTAGCTTGTCATTAGGCTTGGTAATTTTGTTATAGTTGAAATATTGCAACTTTTGCAAATGGATTTGGATTCCATGGGCCATTCGGTTATTACTTGAAATCCTAATTTTTTACTTTTCAAATGAGATTATATCTCAATGGTGATCATACTAATAAATAATGGCTATCCATCCAGATTGTGTGTTGGTGCATTCATCGATACGTTTTGTCGATATAATGATTTAACCAATCGCAAATGTCTACTAATGTCATATAATGTCAAGTAACAGGTCAAGAATATATATAGCTTGTAAGGTATACAGCTGGCACAATACGGAAAATAAGATATATCATCTCCATTGTTTTTACTTCATTCATTAGTCTATAATTAAATATTAGAGATAATATCACAATTGAATAAATTAAAAGATTGTCTGAATTTAATATCAATTATATAAGATAACATTATATACACCATAAATAACTATAATGAACAAAGATGGGTAAAAATAGATGAAGAGTTCTAAAGTATTGAATCAATAACAGCATATAAGTATGGATATAGTAATGCGTATAAATAATTTGGGAAATGAATGATTTGGATATAGTCTATGCAGTCCCTGTCATGATACTACGATTACGACATCGATGATGCATATCGTCACGTTCCAATTTAAAAGATTTATAGAGAGACGAAATCTTAAAGAATTGTCGTTTAATGCAAACATCAGATCACTCACATTGATGGCAAGTTATCATGGTAGTTTGTTACAATTTTACAGCCAATTTATCACAATAAGCTACACGTCTTAAAAATGCAGCAACATTCATCAACAGATTACTTTCTACTATGGATTCCGAAAAGATATAAAAAGTGTCAAGTTCATGATTTGAATCAGTCATGTTCAGATCTACTATAGATCATTCTGTTGGAGAGAATGGAATTGTATCATAAAGTAGAATTCAAATCGTCTGATAATCAAGGTTATATTAATTGTATTGTCGTTACACTTTAAATTTATAAGCATTTGATTCTTCCTCACTGAAACTAGGTGAAGCTATTACGAAGTTAATATGGGTGACAATAAAAGGTTGGCAATTATAGGTGGTGGTCCTGGTGGTTTGGCGGCTGCTAGAGTATTTTTGGAGAATGCCAAGGGGTTTCAAGTGGAATTATTTGAATCAGATTCTGAAATTGGTGGAGTTTGGCATTATTGTGATGACGAGGATAAAGAGGGTAGAGTAATGTATGACTATTTGGAAACTAATATACCTAAAGAATTGATGAAATTCAGTGGATATCCATTTCCAGATTCCGTATCCAAGTTTCCTAAGAGAGGAGATGTTTGGAAGTATTTGAAAAGTTATTTCAAGGAGTTTATCGAAAGTCAATCTGCATTTAAAGCACATTTGAATACAAAGGTATCGAATGTATTCAAAAAAGATGGTGAATGGATGGTAGTAGTGAAAGACGAGTCCAATGATGTGGATGAGTATGTCTTTGATTATGTAATCTTTGCCAATGGTCACTATAGTACACCAAGGATTCCAAATGAAATTCCGGGTTTAAATCAATGGTTTGAGAACAATTCAGCATTCCATTCCAAGGACTTTCAAAATTGTGAGTTTGCTAAAGGTAAAAATGTAATTGTCATTGGGAATGGTAGCTCAGGCCAAGATATTACTATTCAATTATCATCAGTAGCCAAAAAAGTGTACAATAGTGTTCATGATGTAGAAAAATCACAATGTGTAGCAATTGGATTGACCAATCTGATTGAAATTATTCCTTCAATTGATGAAACTGAGTGGATAAATCATTCTGTGAAACTTTCCAATGGTAAAGTTCTTAATGATATCGATTTCATTGTGTCGGCAACTGGGTTTTACTATGATTTGAGGATATTAGAACCAAATTTAAGAAAAGACTTATTAGGGACAACATCAGTTTCAGAAACTGCTGGAACAAAAATGTATAATTTATGGGAGCAGATATTTTACGTTAATGATAAAACAATAGCATTTTCTCTTTTGCCGCAGCTAGTTATACCTTTCCCCTTAGCTGAGTTGCAAGCATCAGTCATGGTTAAAGTTTTTACCAATAAATTAGAGGTCCCATCAACACCACAAGGTAACGATGATCCTAATTATCATTATTTCCCTAATTACACTGATATCGATTATTATCGACTATTACAAAGTCTATTGGATTCCCATGATGGTGACAAAGATAAATTTAAGCCTGTAAAGTGGGATGGTGAGTATGAAAAGATGAGGAGAGGGTGTACAGAATTGAAACGTCAACGTAATTTAAAACTGTTTTTATATGCCCAAAAGTTAAGAAAGGAACATATCCCTTATCATTTAATACCTCCAGAGGAAGACATTTAAGAAGTTCTTACATTTTCATTTTATAAAGACTACATACATATTTCTGTGCATACAATTAAAAATATTTACGATAAGATAATTAACAAATCCTTATTTAATTAAATATTGGAGGGTTAAAGCAGTGTAGGGTCAGAAGGTCAATCAATACCTTTTATTTATAGCATGATTATACAATTTATAGTTAGCAAATTACCCGCACTTTGTTCTATACAGAGTTGAGCGCTTCCAGATCAACTTATATGTTTGGTTTTTTTACTTTTCATATATAAAGCAAGGACCAATTTTAAGAAACTTTCACAAGCTTAATAGACCTTTGAATAATAAATAAACAAGTTTATTATTTCAGTAGTTGATCTTACAGTTAGGGTACGGTGCAGTTTGTTGTTAAATTTACAACACTAATCTGATATTTGAAAAATTCTCATATAAATCTTTCATGTGTTAGACAGTACTCTTTTGGTGAAATTGTACGCATCAAGAAAGACCTTCAATGTAATTATGTTTGGAAATGCAGTTTTTAAATTTTAATTTACTGATTATGGAAGTAAAATAGTATTTCATCCTTATTCATGTCATTATTGAAGGTATTAATTAGAGTTGTTATATACCAAAAAAAAATAGGTCCATTCTTTTAGTATCTATTGGCTGTTTTATATGACGCAAAGAATAGTGGCGGCTAATCCTGGTACGGTTGTGGGTCCAAGTGATCGGAGCATGACTTTTGAACAATGTGAATCATCATATACGAATCTATATTATTCCCGACGGAGTTAAGATTAGGATTTTAGGGGAAATGGGTGACATATCCTCGTCTGTAATGATCGATTAGCGGGATTTTATATCAAATTTAATTGAAATACATCAAAATAGTAAATTAAGATGTTCCGAAAGAGAGTTTTGTACTGGAATTTATCTCTGTTTACACTCTGTTTTAACTAAAGCTATTTGGCGTTTTGTTGTACTGGCAAAAGTTAGGAATCACCAAGCTTCTTCTTTATGATATTCCCTTATTATGTATGGATGGGGAAAGGAAAACCGTATTCAATGGAATTGAATACTGTTAGTTGATATGATACTTCTCATAGAACCAGTTAATTCAAGAAATAGTAGTGGCCAAAATCTTGTCAATAAAGAGAATGAATGAATTGGTTGTTTGTTTGTTTGTTTGTTCTTTTTTTTGTTTTTGATGTGAACTGTAAGATGCAAGAGTGTTTGAATATTGGCAATATAGGGAAAAACTTTAAGACAGAATAAGGAGACTAGATTGTATTAACGTTTTGTCTTATATGCACTAAGCTCTCCTCCTCTACTTAAGATTCGTCGACAATACTATATTTTGTTAGGATAAATGAATGAATGGTGATGATCATTTCTTCTTATTAAGTGATAATAATATTATTAACACTTACTACCTGCTACATTTTTTGTTTGGGGTGGATTATTAGTATTTTTCTGATAATCAGAGAATACCTGGGTACTCTCTCTAATAACGTTGACCTTTGTACGCCTACTACTACCTGTAATTTCAAGATCCTTCTTCTTATTATAGTGTATTCTATTATACGTTTGCCTATCTGAAGATATTAGTATTTGTCACCAAGATCATTTTAGAGAGACCCACTCAAGGTAATATTGTTGTACATTTTCATCGTTCTTTTCTTGGAGAAGATTTGGCTAAGGCTTGATTTGAAATTATCAAGTAACTGTAGTAAAAATTACGATAATTTCATTATTGAAATAATATTCCATTATATTAAATTTCCATTTTTTTATTTTCCTTATAACTAACCAGTTTGTAATAAAACGTCATAATAAGAAACATAGAGTTGTGTTATATTTTACTTTTTCGTTCTCTTATAGGATATCAAATATATTGGTTACAGGGAAGTCAACCATCACAGAGAATCCCACTGACGCTAACAACTTTATCGTTATCATTGGTTCGTACAAACGATTTGTCTGACTGTTTGTCTCATCCTTTCATTTTGGTTTTTTTTACATCTTCATCATTTTCAAATTTCGATCGATATAATATTAAATTATTAAGTATCTTAAAATTTAATCAAAATAACAAAAGGTGTAACTGGATATTACTTGATTGAGTCCAATAATTTTACAAGAGAATTTAGATACATTAAATAAAAGGTTTGTTCCAACTAGCATTTATTTTCCATTATTTGATCTTATAAGTAGGTTGGATATAACCAAGGCTTTATCAATATGTCAGATGATGCTCAGATTGATACTGAAAAAGAAACTATTGAAGATGATGTTATTATGAAACAGGAAATATCAACGGATAGCACCGAATCTGCAACTTCACCAGGGGATAAAGAAGCTTATTCTTGCTCCAGATGTAGGAAATTAAAAAGGAAGTGCCAAAAACAAAGGCCTTCCTGTGCAAACTGTATGAATGCAGGCGCTACTTGTAATTACCCAGGTCGTGCTCCAAGAAGATCAAAAAAAGAATTAGAAGCAGCAAGACTACGTGGTGAGTTTGAACCTGCAAAAAAGAGATTAAAAAAATCTTTGTCTGTAGATGAATCAAAAACCCAAGACGATAAAAAAGAAGACAAGAAAAGTTCAGATTCATTTACACCAACATCAATGCCAGATTCATTTAACGAGTCACAAACTAAAATGTCAAGCAACAGTTCAAATGCTATTGAAGGAGTTTCATCATTAATATCTGCATTAAACGGTTCATTAGAACCAACTAGTAATATTACGAATAAAAACAATACCACAGGGATACCTCCGTTATCAAGCGTTACTACAAACTCGACCTCCAATTCAGATCAATCATTATATTCTTTCCCTCCTCTAACTAGTAATGATATTATGAAATTAAACACTACTTTACCGATTCAGCCACCTGCTTTAAATAATATCCCATTGATTCAGCTTCCTCAGAATGGTACAACATCATCGGCACAGACAAATCATATTCAACCACCATTAGAAGTAGCTCATGTAAAGCCATCAGAAAGTGATCAAGAATTAAAATTATTGGATGCATCGATACCAATCATTGATTCTTCCATTCAATTTGAAACTGTAAGTTCTATATTTAAAGGTGGTGTAAATACTCCTTGGGCAAAGGACTTAGCAACTAACTGTTATAAAGCAATTGATAGATCATTATACGATAGATTTATTGCAGCATATTTTAACCACAATCATAGAACTTTCCCAATGATAGATAAAATTGGTTTTCTGAATAAAGTGTCTACTATTATGGATTTTACTCAATTAGATAAGAATTATGACGATGTTTTTATCTTTAAAGTAAATATGATCATGGCAATAGGCTGTACTACGCTTCATAGGGCGGGTATGCTGTTTAAAGATCAAGAGGAGTTGAGTGAACATTTTGCCTATATTGCTATGAAAAAATTTAACCCAGTTATTATGTTGCAAAATATGGAAACGGTAAAATGTTTATTATTGCTCGGTATTTATTCATTTTTTGAACCAAAGGGGGCATCATCGTGGACAATTAGCGGCCTAATAATGAGATTGGCAATTGCCTTAGGTTTGAATAGAGCTCTTCCCCAAAAGAAATTGAGAACCATGACAGCAACTGAAGTTGAATTACGTAATCGTATTTTCTGGAGTGCATACTGCTTTGAGAGGTTGGTAGCTACCTCATTAGGAAGAATTTCCGCTATTGATGATGATGATATTAACGTTCCACTCCCTAGAGCTTTATATAAAGAGGAAGAAAGTGATTTAGAAGTTACTCTAATGACTATTACTCTACGTAGATTAGGGGGAAGGATTTATAAAAAGGTGCATTCTGTCAGTGTAAACAAGAAAAAATTGTCTCCAGAAGAAAAACAGAATATCATAAAAGCGTTGAGAGTTGAGATTGATAATGTTTATACTACAGAAAGGGCAAAAATTCAGAAACAAAAGACCGAAAATTATTCAATGGCTCATTTTAATAGTGATTTTGTTGGTGATAATCCAGATATGATTTCATTTCATAGTTCAGATATTTGGCTTGCGATGAGGTACAGTCAATTTCAAATTATGTTGTATAGACCATCAGCTCTAATACCTAAGCCTCCTTTAGAATCGTTGACAATTTTAGGAGAATTTTGTTTGAAAGCTCTAAAGTTCACTTATACTTTGTATAAAAAGAAAATGTTGCCATTAAATTGGATTACACTTTTTAGAGCGCTTACAATTTGCAATACCATGTTATACTGTTTATGTCAATGGAGTATAGACCTAATTGAAAGTAAAAAAGAGATTCAACAGTGTGTTGAAATTTTGCAACATTTTGGTGAGAAGTGGGTGTTTGCTACAAAATGTGCCGAAGTTTTTCAAAATATTAGCGCTACCATTTTAGATATTAGTTTAAGCAATGGGCAAGTACCAAACATGGATAAATTAACTAGGGAACTGTTTGGCGCTAGTGATGAGTATAAGGAGATTCTAGATGAAAATAATGTTGATGTGATGTGGATTGATAGATTTGGTTAATTCAATCTGTTGTTTTATTTCTTATTATAAGGAAAAGATACTTAATGTAGAAATTGATGTTTTTTATTTATTTTGTTGATGAAGATAGGGTGAAAGCGGCGATACCGATGATTGGTAGTGTAATTATATCTATTCAATTTGTGCAAAAATAAGAATAGAAGAAAATAGGTGGCGGGTGTAATCGAAGTGGATTACTTCCCTTTATCACTGAGATCAAGTTGAAAACTCATTAAATGATATCAATAAAAATAGAATTATTGGGATTTTCAATAGCGATTAGTTTATAGAAATTTTATAAGAATAGGGAAGTATTAATGAAATCTATGGTGTAATGATAGAACCATTTTTTTTTGTTAGCTATCTGCTTATTTTGCAAAGTATTTAAGTGTGTATGAAAAGTAGATAAAAATTGATATGAATACTACCATGTTATTAATATTAGTTTATAAGAATCTTGAAATATAATTACTTAATGTTTATGCTAAATCAGAATGGACTTTATAAGTTCCATAAAAAATGTTTAATGTAGTATTATCTTTAACTTTAATTCACAAAAAGAAAAAGAAAATTTATGATTTAAAGGGTAGTTACCATCTATCACTTAACTTGTGATAGTAACCTTAATTAGAAAGTAAAGGGACTTGCAATTTAAAGTGGTGAAAGTTTGGCAGGTGATAAAATAACGCTAATATTTATAAAAAGCTGAAGATATTTGTTTTACTAACTCTGCTTGCTAGTACATAAAAAACACACACACACATATATATATATATTCATATAGCAAACCGATTTAAGAATGCTGCCTTTTTAGGACAAAATAGAATTTAATTTCAGATAATTTAACCCACTCTTAAAATTATATTTTTTGTAGAGAATCAGAGGGTTGTGGATTCTTTACAGAATCGTTAATAGTAATAGATTCTTTATTTATTTCCAAGGACATTCTTAATAAGTTGATATTGATCCAGTGTATTAAAGTATAAAATATACACATGGGAATATAGTACATATGATAAGTATCAATTAAGATCTCATCATTTCTTATATACAGTGTTGGAAAAGTTTTAACGTCAGAAATAACACTTTCGTGTAAAGTAACATCTCTTTATCCTATATGAATAATGTCGTAATACGTTTATATCACGTGTTACCTCATAATTCTGACAAACTTATTAAGAATGTCCTTGCAAACAACTAAACAATCTACTATTATTAACGATTCGGTAGAAAAACCACAACATAATTCTCTACAATATTAAATAATGATATGATGATATGATGATGATGATTCTTTTGTTTTGGTAGCAAATAGTTATGGCAATGCGACAGTGTCGCTTTATATACTAATTGGGGTGTCATCTGTAGATAAAGAAATACTTTATACCCCAATATTTCGTATAGAATTATTCGTAAATCAATACAACTGTATTGTTTGATCCGGAATATTGAATATCAATGTATTAAGTATTTATCTAGGGAAACAAGCCGTAGAAGTAAATACTTAAGGTTACTAGTTATAAGCTCTATGAGGTTAATTAACTATTATAATAACTATACAGTAGTATTAAATATATAAGGATTTCTATGGTCTTCTGTTTAATAACAAAAGTGTATATCTTTACTTCAGGAACTATGCCCTTTATATACGTCATGTCAGTTATCTATTAGCGTCATTCCTTTTAACAATCATGACAGATCCTCTTTCCTTATTCCTGTCATCTTGTACTAACGTGGAATCAATACAATATCGGCGGCTTCAAGGAAGGTTTCGGTTAAGTCAATTGAAAACCTTGTCATTTATAATATCTTCTAGTGTCTTGATGTAATATTTTCGTTCCTGATCGTTGTAGACTCTAGTGTACTCTGCTGCCGTTCGGATAGCTGAGCCTTGCTCTGCATAAGCCGGTCTTAGCTTTGTACTATGGTAAGTATATTTGCTTTCCTTTCCGTTTTTGGTTTTAATCTTATATGTGTGGTTTCCAACTTGTTGTGAAATTGTATAGGGACCATCCCATGTGGGTTCATGTTTCTTATTCTTCTGTCGTAGTCGATAAACAGGGTCTCCGACTATGTATTGCACGTCGTTTTGTGTATCTGTTCTTACTTTAGATAACATTTCACGAACTTTGGACCGTTCATCTTTTGTAATCTTTCGAGCATCATGTAACAACTTATGACCGAATATTGCTAAGTTGACTTGTTCTTCTTCTTGGAAATGTTCTGCAGTGTTCGGTCTTTTATTCCATTGTCTTTCTTGTCGAGGTGCCCAAGGGTATTTTTTGTAATCGATATGAGCAGTTTTAGCAAATGCAATTTCACAAGGTGCATAGCCATAGACCATTTTAGTATTATTAACTATGTTCGTTGCGTTATACAAATTAGCAGGCCAGTTGATCAAATCAGGTTCTAAGTGGATGAGTACCTTTTTAATCATCCTTATCGTTCTTTCAGCTTTGCTGTTTCCTCTTGGATTATACACCGAGCTTTGATAATATTTCAAATGTAGTCGTTTTACTTCTTGTTCGACTATTTCTGATCTGAAGGCTTGTGCATTATCCGTGATGATGGCTCTAGGTTTACCAAACATACTGTATATTTGTAGAATCATATCGGTGACGGCATTAGAATTTGGTGAAATTAGTGGTTTTGTAATTGTGAGGTTGGAGGTATAATCTACTGCGATTATAAAGTATTGGAAATCATCCCATGTTGTCAAAGGTCCCGCAAAGTCGAGGTGCCATCGGATAAGTGGTGGCGTTATTTTCATTTTGGGTAGTTCGACTGGTAAGTCTACGAAGCGTTGGTAGATCTCACAATGTTGACAGTTTCTTATTACATCTAAAAGCAATATGGCATGTCTAGGGTTCCAGAATTTCTCCTGGATCATCATCTGTTCCAAGATTCGGTGGTTGGCATGAAAGGCATTATGTAATGAAGTAGCCTTTTCAATGTAATCCACATCGGTAATTATGTGGTGGAGTTGTTCATGGTAGATGATGTAGAAATTATTGTTAACCCATGTGAAGATATGTATGATGTCCTGGTAGATTTGGGGGATAGGTAAATGTTCTCGAATAATACGTTGGATGTCCAAAATTTGGGACCAAGATAGATTACGAACATCTTGTATGATGTCAGGTGTGCCTTCGTTATTCTGTTGGTCGGTGGTGTCAGTATCTGGTTCACGTGATTCTTCGGGAGCCTTTTGGGTATGTTCGTTAGTGGTATGTTGAGTTAAGTTTGGGTTTTCTTTACTGTGTTGATCCGAGTGTGTAACGGCATTAAGTTTAATGTCGACTGAGAATTTTTCCCATTCGTCGAGATTCAATGTAGGTTGGGAATCTAATCCGTACCTGCTTAGGTAATCTGCGACGTGGTTGTCCCTTCCTTTGATATATTTCCAATTTAACCTGTAGGTATTTAATAAATCAAGATACTTAGTTAATCTGGGATGAGTGGCACGTTCAGTTTTTCCCACTGCTGATGA